CCTGGATACTTGTATCAATAACCATTGTTTCTTTTCTTTCATGTCATACCGCTATGAATTAGTTATAATATACATCAGTTAATTAAGATTCGACACAAATGAGTACTTAATCAATCAATTATCATCTCTGTTACGTTACTTTAGCAAATATGTTCACAATGTATGTATTAAAGGTCTTTGAAGTAAACTTTTATCAACGTAAAAAAACATGGTTTTGTGTGATGTTTTTGGTGTAAATCCATTGAAATTAAATCAAACGCTGATTTACTTAATTGGTCAGTAAGATTATATTTTTACATAAAACGCATCAAAAATTGCTAGATTTAAAATATCTTATATACAATTCGATGCTTTAGCTTATTAGATTTACAATAAGAATTTACATGATTTCCATTTTTGGATCATGCACGTACTATTACCTTTCCGTTTAAACCAACATATTACTAAATTGGCATTTGCTTAAAACAAGCGTTCAATATTGCCGTGTTAGAATTTCTTTAATGTCTATGATCTATTTGAACGTTTCTATGTGATTTGAATGATTTCCAGCAGTGCAAATCTTACATCTAAAGTCTCATAATTAAAATGCCTGCGTGTTATTTATTATCACCGTGTGACCAATCAATCTTTTACACAATTAGTGTTTGATAAGTTCTGAAGTGTGTAGGAAATTAGTTTATGGCTAATTAAACTATCAGTGTTACATATTGCCCAAAGTAAAGCTATATTGGCTTGTTTGTTCATAGCAAAATATTTGTTTATTTCATAATAGGATCCGTACAAATATAATTTAAGTAAAGGATTAAGGCAAACTAGCTTGCAGGAATATATACTTGAGTAATCTTATGCTTATTTTAACCACATTTAAAGGTATACTATGCTTATCTTTGGGTTAAAAAGAGTTACGACACGTACATTCTATCACGTCCATACTAGTATGTAGTTCTCGTTTTATACTGTAACATGACGGGTACGCTTCAGTCAATGTCGCAATGTGACATGTGTATCATTTATATATTTATACAAGGTGACTCGTTACGGTTTATCATAATGCCTTGGACATAGATTCATAATATTCCAATTGAACGATATATAAACTTTGAAAAAGCAAATGGCCAACGAAAAAAACATAAAAATTTGAGCATAAACGTTGTTTATAAGACGTTTAAGGCATCATACGCGTTACCAAAATCTAACCAAAATAAAACAGCACACACTATAGTGACCTCGCTTTACTATATCAAAGGCGGCTATTAAATTTTTGAAACCAGAATTATGTTCGCACAGAATCATCCAAATCATCTAATTGTAAAAGATAAATTTCTTCAAAACGAACTTTTCCTAGTTTCTAAAATTGAACAAATGGATTTATTCAAAAATTCAGATGTTTTATTCAAGTGCAATGCAACAGCTCTTACACTGGTGCGTTTTGTCCAGATCAGAAACAGTCCCTTTAGGTTGAGTCAAGGTATTTAACCCATTACTTGATATACACGCCTTTTAGCGCCTTTCTCACGCCTCCCCCCTTTGTTGTTGTTTCAAATGGTGAAAAACAATGCATTATTTAAGCCCCCAACACTTGTTTTTGTTTGAGAAATGTTGTTTAAAACATTGACCACTTTTTAGGCCCGGCCCCTTATCCAAAAGATACATCAGGGGGTTGCCAGAAAGGGGAATGTACCACCTTCTGTTTGGGGGGTTTGAAGGGGGCGGGAGTCCCCCTTATTGCCAAGATTTTGGACTTGTGAAAGGCTCAAATGACCCCAGATCGATCATAAGGTAACGTGTAACCATCGCTGAAAAGCCTTTGACTCTATTTCAATCCATTTAAAAGTTGCAGCACTTTGAAATCAATTTTGATAGAAAAAATCAACGCAAAATAGTGACTTTTGGCAATTTTGAGATATCTCTTCGTTGCCATAGTAAAGGAAATTTAAGACTGAGCACGTTGTTACAAAGTCAATGGTCCAGTCAACATTGTGCCAAGTTTCATTAGTATTGAAGTAGTTTTGTTATAGTTTTATAGCAATTTGAACTTGAAACGGGAGACTTTTCAATGAAAACAGCCAATTTTCACAAAATGCTTATGCTGTAATGGGTTAAGCATGATTAAGTTCTAGCAGGAGAAACGTTTTTTTATTACCTCCACATTATTATTATATCATACAGCTATGAAAATAATTTAAACGCTTTTATGTTATACTTGCGTACCGTGTTTTTTAAATGTGGGCTTCCGTACGATGAAATTGAAGTTATTCTTGGAAAGAAATAGAATCTCGTATAAATCTAATAAAGTGAAAATAAAAATAAATTCGTAAAAAACGTGAAGAAATAATTGGTTCTCAAGGCTACAAAATGACAATGATTAAGCAGATTTGAAAGGAGTTGAATTTTTCATATCTATCATCATATCTGCCAGCGAACACCACGTGTCAATTTCCATATTATAATCAGCCTCTGGATACCGGTAATAAACTTTATAAGCCGGTGCTTGGGGGCGTGGACGGTAACTTGCACTTTCCAGTTCCGTCAATGAACAGGCTCAATCAAACCGAGCCTGCAACATTTTCAATTTTGTTGTGTTGCACTTTCTTTAGGGATTCTGTTTTTTCTCCATTTTAACAATTACTGATGTCAAACTTTAACAAATTACTAGGTATATCTGACTGATTATATTAACTTATTAACACGTTGATTTAAACTAATTATCACAACAAATGTCTCCCAAAAAAATGCTTAATAAGTAATTTTCAAAACAAATGTCTCCCCCAAAAATTCTTAATACTATCACCAAATAAACAGTATTCAACAAAGGACGCCTCCTTCTAAATGTGATTAAAACTTCAAACCGAGTCTGCAATTCTTGTTATTTTGTTGTGATTAATGCTTCCGAGGGATCACTTTGTTTCCAGAATTCAGTTGACATCCAATTTAATTACGTCACCACATCTCTACACTAAATATTTCTACAGACAGTTAGTTGATCAAATAAACGATAACTATTGCAAAACTTTAACTCAGATTTCCTCTAGGAATGATCTTTTGTTGGTCCCCTTTCAATGTTGTTCAAATGGTTCCGGTCTGTTGCTTATCGCGGTCAAGGGGACAACTTTACTTATATGGGAAAACACTCTTTTAAGCACTTAAATGCCTAAAGATTAAATATTTGCCATGTGTGTATCGCTTCTGGCCCACTACAAAATGTACATGTAAATCTAAATTATGTCCCTTGGGTCAAAATGTTCCACGCCCAAGGGGGTGGGGTCATGTTTTATATTAACCTGTAAAATATGTATTAGTCTAATTGTATGAATAATTATTTGAAATTGAAAAAAAAATCGTCATTTCTAACAGTGACATCGAACATTGTTAAACTCGGTTACAACCATTTTTTAATATTTTAAGGTATAAACTTCAAACTTCAAATTTAGGTTCCTTATTATCATGTGATAAGGTCCATAACTCTGAAAGCAATGTTTTCAGAGTTATTTACCCGTGACATAGAATTTCCCTTAAAAGCTATTTTTCTTTTCTCTTACTTCTTTAATTTTCCTAAGGGATCAATTTACATGTAAAACTTCAAAAATCATCTTAATTATCAATATGATCATTTATGTCAAGGTTTTAAAATCTAGTCCCAATATTTCCAAAATTATACCCCCATGAACTTAGATATTTCCTTAAAAATGTATTTTTCACTGTTTATCGTTTAAATATACTTCAAACTTCAACTATTTTTTACTTAATATGACTTACATCATGTGTGACAATATCCATAGCATGAATAGCATGATTATTCCCAGAATAATTCCCCCTTTGAATGTTTCTTTTCATAAAAATTGCTATTTTTTGTTCTAACTCTTTTCAAAGGATTTATTTCAACTGTAAAGTTACTTTTCATATCAACACCCATATTATAATAATAATAATAATAATAGTTATGATAATAATTATTATTATTATTATTATCATGATAATGTTCATAACTGTAGCGTCAATATTTTTTGCTTCCCGTTAAAATTCCTTAGTTTTTTTGTAACCTCTTTATATGTTCATGAATTTATTCAGACTTCAAAATGATTGCATTTATGAAAAAATGCTATGCCACCGCATTAATGCAACACTAAATTGTAGGAACAGATGTAGACTTTTTTGTTTCCAACCAATTGATCTTTGCCATAATGCAGCATGTCCATTTAAAGACAATGTGCAGATGTGCCTTTTGATTTAAAGGCTATAGTATTATGATTTTGATTCAAAATAAAAGTATTCTTAATAGAACATTTGATATTAACTGCATTACATAGCTGTATTAAACTTTGAAATAAAGTTACGGTTATTTTTCTTTAAACTTTCTTTTCAATTAAACATGACCTTTTTCTGAAAACATAAAAAAACATCTACGATTTAAAATCATCATTATATACATGATGTAAATCATATTGTTTTATCATTACACAAATATCCCTACAAAGCTTCAAATCAATTCATAAATATCTTTGAAAAGCAAACATCTCTCTTTGCTAGAGGTCATGTCCATTAGACGTACTCTCATATATGAAACCCTTTTTAGAAATATTGCACAACATGTAGACACGTACGTATAAAGGCATTTCGTTATGTCTTGTTTAATCATCAGGGGTTATCAGCTTGTAGTACTTTTTAACTTCCTGGTGCAAGTCCTTTGTATCTATTTCAACAACAATGAACATGTTTGAACTGAAACTTCATATCACTAGAATCAGGATAGGTTAAATAAGTGTATTTGAATCTAAACATTTTAGGCGATATAGTTTGTTGAATCTTTTTTTCTGTGCTGACGGGTATTGCTTCTTATAAAGAAGCATTGAATATTGTATTGTTTTGGGTATTATTGGTCACCTACTAGTTTTAACGTAGGGATCTTTAGGGTTGGACTCCGATCGTTTGTTGTCTGTCTCGTTATTACCTAAGAAGAAATGTTTTTATGAAACTTGAAAAATGGATAGATGGCAGTATGAAAATAACGAATTTCTAGTTTTTTCTTGCTTTATTGAAAATTCAGGTAGCTATAGCAACAAATAGATGTACATAAAGCATTACATTGTGAACAATCAAAAATGATATTTTTAATTTTGAATGAAACGTAAATAATTATAGATAGATAGAAATAAGAAGATAATGCACGTTATTGTTTGCTTTACTTTTTCAAAGAATGCAGAACGGTCAAGACTTAAGGGAAGATGTAATTGAACTTCATCATGTTCTTAATTAGGCATTGGTACTTAAGGTCAAATAAATTAATTTTGATACAATTGACAAAAAGTTTGTTATCTATTTAAGGACTGTATTTAAACTTGGAAAAAAGAATACATATGTTTATGACAAATTTGATTTTGACAGTCGAGGTCCGACTGTTGAAAGTAGCTTACATTGCATTCACTTTGTATTTAGTTATAGAGTTTATTCATTATTATCATTATTCAGTCAGAAAACACCTATATAAAGATATAAATATAACATATAAATAAAGGACAGTCAATGGTAAAAATACAATTTTACTTAAACTATTGTATTAGTTTTATGAAAACAATGAGCAGTTATGTTTTGCACTGATCTTGAAATTGAAGATTAATGGAAAGATATAATGTATACAAAATAAATGTTTTCAGATAATCTAAACTGAATATCATTACAGATGTATTAAAACTTAATCAATAAATAAGGTAATGATTGAACGTCATCAAAATCTGTATCAAATTATGTCATACACTTCTATATGATATCCTCTATTTCGCCGAACAATCAGTCTCTTGAAATTGCAATCAAAGCAAACAGCCGTACAACCTCCCACTTTACCATCTGATGTGAGTATTTCTCCTACCACTTCACCGTTTGGATAAAATTGTACAATATTGTTAGATAATGCACCACAAACAAGAATATCTCCATTGTCTGTTTCACAAATTTCCCTCAAGCCACTAAGATTATTATAATTATATTTCCCATATAAGTGTCCTTCTTTACTAATAACTACAATACCATATGTAGAATCTGCATATCTGTTGTCAGCAACATAAATTATCTTAACATCTTGACTGACTGTAAGACTGATGATGTTGCTGAACAAGTTATCACCTGACTGATCTTTGGAAAATTGACTCAGTATTTTCCCTGTCTTGTTGTAGACTAATATAGTCTCGTTTGAATCAGTTACATAAATTTTCCCATTTTTGTACCCTAAGCCGTAACATCTGTGTTCGGTTTTCATTTCCCGTGTTACTTTAAGAGGGTGTTCTGTAGTTACAAATTTAATATTCATCCTAGCAGAGGACACAGCTATCTCATTGTCAACTTCACAAACTTGCCACGGGGAAATCGAAAGTTTACAAGCATCTACAATTTTAGATGAGATCATATCAAGACGTTTCAAACTTTCATTGTATCTGTCCGCGATTATAACAGATCCATCCTTAAGCATACATATACTGTGTATATCATAACAAATACTTCCGTCTGAATCATGTTTGAAACTTATTTCCCTCTTTTCCCCATGCATATATATAGCAGGCTTTTCAACAAGTTCTCCCAATTTGTTCATTTGGTCTACCATTGTAATTAGCTTTTGTTGACCTTCAAAGACAACATCAATTCTTCTAAATTGTATTTCCATCTCTTTCCAACCATTGTCTGCCGTTTCTGTAACTGTGTTAGCTACTTTCATCCCCACAAATTTTTGCGACAGGTTTGACGTGGCGGATTTTAACTCCCTTGCTGAAGACTGGATATCTTTATGGAAAGTTGTCAGTATGGTTATTTGCTCTTCATACGTCTTAATTAATGCTTTGTATTCATCTTCTATATGATCAATGCTCTTCTTTTCAAGATTGTCAAGTTTGTGGTCGATGTCAATCCGGAACTGTTTTATTTTCTCAACTTCCTCCTCTTTCTGTTTATAAAGACGTTTTATTTCCCGTTGTCGAATTTTCAGCTGAAATTCAAAGTCACTGGTAACAGCTTGCACCTTTCGATTAACTTTTTCACATTGACTTGTAGGGTCATGGTCAAAGACGTACTCAGGCACATAGAAAACATCGTCACATGACCTGAAATTTGACAATAATTTTTACTTTATATATTGCCCGGACAATGCATTTACTTTACATTAGTCATTGACATGTTATTCTAACAAGATAGGAATGAGGAAACGAAACTTGTTCAATTCTATGTGTACGTAATATGGATTTGCGTAATCAAAGAAATGATATGTTTTCTTTCCAAAAACTGACATTTAAATGCACACTATTAGGAGCTGTTAAAAAAGTATCGTGTCTGTACACCAAGAACTTCGCTTCATGTTAAGCATACGAAAATAACAAAGAGTTCAGGTATTCTCACAATTAAAAAAATCATGAAATATATGCATGGCCATCGTTATGTGAAGAGTATGTATTTTAAAATTGAATACTTCTATTACTATGTTTTTTAGATGAGCAGCATATGATAATCTACGATACTTATTCAAGTGTTCCATTTCACTTGACATGAAATTTCATTCAATACATTTTCATTTCAATCATCATTTTGGTTTAAATATAAAGATAGTAAATTATATTGACAAAAACGTTTAAAAATGAATAAGTTTTAATGTTTCCTCACAAGCCAACCTTTGATAAACCATGAAAAACAGGTCATACATTACTATCCTATAGATTGAAATGTGTCTTGCAAAAATTGAAAGCTCATTTGTATTTCCCACTAAAAACATTAAACATATTTCCCTTTCTCAAAACAAATTTAGGAAACTACATCTGTATTCATTGGGAGTGTCACACCACTGGTGAAATTTAAATCGTGTGTTTGATAAAAATCAATGGAAATATGTTACAATGATTGTTATTTTCACAATCATTATAACAACTTCTAAATTGATATACTCATCATGACATACAAGTAAAAAGTTATTTCTAGTAACATCCTGTTAGCTTTTATTATATTTATGAAAAGTCCTTTCAGAATCATGTACATTAACACACACAATTATTTGATTATTCCTATGTCTATCTTTGTAATTTATTATGTGATCAACTCATAGTTTAAGCACAGACATGAAGTTTGTTTGAAGATTGCTTAGGCTTAATTACATCATATTGATTATATATAGCTAGGCGGTCAGTTTCCCTAGGTATCTAACAGGTTATTACGAATTTCTATGCAATTGTTTATCTGCACATTAAATTGGTAATTATAAAAGGGTAATATAGTAAATTAAAACAAAAAATATCAATAGTGGGGAAAATCAATGTGAACCAAATGTTTTTAAATGAAATATCAATCATTCATTTTCGAATTTTATAAAAATGTTAAATTGACATCAACCGTTTTATACTTGTCATGATATATTGGCTTACGCACAATATCAATCAACAGAGATTAAATTATATCTTACCTGTGGTCTACTGCCATGCATGTAGAACATCCAACGTTATCATGACTTTGACAATACATGTCAACAAGTTTAAACAGGTGATTCTCGCATCTTTGTGTTGGTGTAACAGGCAATGTTCCACTCGTTCCATCATTAACTTGACCTTTGTCTATAATCTTATGTCCAGACAGGGCTGGAATATCCCCATGAAATTTAACACAATCAGAACAGTAGTAATCATAACAATCTACGCAGTATTTGTCCGCTTCTTTGTTTCTTCCCTTACGTTTACAGGGTGAACATAACATGTGAAGTAGTTCATCTGACTGTTTGTCCATCTCACTCCCTAAATTGGCGGCCATTTTGCTTGACACAAATTGACGGTTTATAAAATAAAGTCCATTTTTGGGCTCATTATCTATAACAGGAAATACACAACGATCGATACTGCGCTATAAATAAACCATTTCAGATAAGAATGTGTTATGTATTTAGGTCAAATAGTTGATATAAAGGTAGTTTTGTGGTACTATGTTTACAGATTAAATCATATTTGAAGTAGAATTGCATGTTTTAATGTTTAAGTATTTTTCTTTAATTTTTTTTTTTTAAATTTATCGACATTTGATTCATGTCGATTTTGTTGAAGAGAATTGCAAACCACCGTCTTTTTAGCAAATAAAAAATATGAGTTATAAGGCTTATTGTGGGCAAATAAAGGTAAATTGTACTAATTATTTACCAGTTTAACAAAGCTTAACTTTAACCTTCAACCGGTTACTGATTAAACCCATGCGACCAGTGCATACCAAGATCGCCTGGCACCTCAGTTGTCATGGTCTCCATTGTTAGGTTCACAATTCGGTCAATGCATATTTGAAACTTTCTTTAAACATTATAAACGGTTTTGATTTAATCGAAAAAATGGACAAGCCTTTCTAAAAATTTCTAGCGTGGTAAGGCTGAGGTCATTGTATAGTTATTATTTGCATGGATTTTTAATGGAGTAGGGCTACCTACAGCGTAAGCAACTGTTGTTCTAAAAGCCTGGCCCCGTGTTCACAAAGATTTAAAGATCAGGATCAAGATCAGGATCAAATTTTAAAACTCAAATATTCTCCAGTATTTATTCTCTTAGATTGAATTTTCAGTATTAACTTGATAAAACTGGACTTGAAATAGCACGTTTATGAAATTTTAGAATGAATTTATTGTTATTTTTACAAGAAATAGGTATTTTACAGTTGATCCAAATTTTGATCTTGATCCTAAAATTGATCCTCATTTTGATCCATTTATTTTTGCATTTGTTCTCTTATTTGTTGATTTTATCCCATTATTGGATGGTTTCTTTGCAAATAAGCAATTATATATATTTTGAATATGTTCCATTTGATTCTAGCATAATACGGTCAGTTTTAGTTTTATAAAACAATGAAAATAAAATCAGGATCAACTGATCCTGATCCTGATATTTTCTTTGTGAACACGGGCCTGATGCTTCAGACAAAAAACTCTCATCATAAAGTCATAGGTCAATATGTTTGTACATATACTTTATCCTGAATTGAATTATTAAATACTTCATTCTATTATAATAATTATGCACGTTCATATACTGGTTAAATGTTGTATGTGAGAGATGAACTTTCCGGATATCTTATTGAGTTATTTTTAAATTTCGTTTATCTTGTTCATAATTTCTATATATACCTGTTACGTTGATGTATGTTCTACATCGATTCATGTCCAAACCAATATGATTATATTAAGTTATTGTTTCAAAGGTTCTAAATGAATAATTCTAAATTTACATGTTCACTTAGAAGTATATGTTGATTTTTTTACTGCTGTATATGATTATTTATAAACTCACCCTTACTGATCTTTACTCTGATATACTCCATTATTATATATACAAATAAACGAAATGATCAACGTACTGTACACTCCCCTGTTCTTCGTTTGATCAATTCTTTAACAGACTGATACGATGAGAGCAAACAAAGCATCAAGTATAGATTGAATACGATTTATGTGAAGAAAGATTTCTCTGATTAGTTTTATCTTATCAAACAACATAACACATAGTAACATTAATTAAATAGAAATGTGAAGGTTATCAAAGAAAGCAAATAGAAACGCAAATGAGGATAAGTTCCTCTCTGGAAAAGTTGTTTCCATTTGAGACAAATCAGAGAAAAATCAAAACAGACAAGCATTTTCCCTAGCTGCATGACATGTTTTATTTGGAGTGGATAGTAAAACAATTCAAATCGTTTCACTTTATATTGAGTACATATGGGTTCAAGTTTGTCTTTTTTATTATTTCATTTGCAGGATATTCATGCAATAAGGCTTTTGCACTATTTTAGAATACACTGTAAATCTAGACATTCACAAGATATTGAAAAAATGATATAATACTAAAATGAGGTCAGATTTTTGTTTTATAATTTTATTTTATGTTATTTTATTTTATTGTCTTTATTCATTGTAACATTTCTTTGAAGAATATACGCTTATTTTGTTGAGGTTTAAATAGTGTGAGAGTAGCTAAAATGATTTTCCCACTTGCATCTCACTCAAAGCTTGCTGTTTGCCGAGGACCAATGTGAAAATCTGACTTAAAGCTGGAATAATGTTCAACAAAATCTTATAACTTAATACTGATAGATGACGTTCCTCGGTCAACGCCCAGCTTTGCTGATTACATATGTCAATCGAGTAGAATCACGAATTTTACACAAGAATAGAGGTTTAAGTTGATGTTATTTAAATCGCTGACGTTTTGTGTCCGTAGTATTTTCAAAAATATTCATTTTCATTAATTTCTGTATGAAGTTTCACCGTAAAGATTAGTTCATACAAATTTTACCACCATGTCTGGTCGCATTCTTTCATAAACAAAACAAATGCAGATCCAAAAACGTGCATAGTTACAATTCACGTAATAACTTTTAAATCCAATTACTCTACAAAAACTGAAATTGCTAGCACATGTGAATCCTAGCATAATGACAAAAATAACAACAACACAATATCACTTTAAAATCTACTTGTTATCTTTCTTTTAAAATAGTTCTATGTAACTCAATTATATAGTCTAAGTAATTACGAAGACAGGTTCTTTCAACACCGGGACTTTTTATAGATATTCCGAAAAGTAACTTGCACGCAAATCACCGACATATAAAGCATTCGTGCGCAATCAGTATGACACATTTTCATAAAAATGTAGTGCAACAAATAATTTTGAGAGACGGTATGATTAAGACATGTTCAGTTTGTTTGAGAGTGGTTGCGTAAAAAGCCCGTTAATATTATTAAACAAAATGTGTACGTAAAGGTATACAATATATCACCCATGACATAACTTACTTGTAAAGAGCAAATTACAAAATAAGATGACATTTTGACAAAAAGGAATGTTTGAAGCCTTTTATATTAAGATATAGAAATCTCTAATTTACGACTACATACAGACCTGTATCATATATTATAAAACTTTTGATATAAAATCCTGAACCAGTTTTTTTGTTGCTGTTGTTGTTTGTTGTTGTTTTTTTCTTGGCGTTGTTGTTGCTGTTGATTTCATTTAATTTTCATAAAAATATAAATACACTTTTAATGTAATGATATACTGAATTCGTTTGATTTTTTTTCTTGTAAACTTTATAGTTACCATATTTCATATTACATCATAAGTTTAGGTCTTTACAATATGAAACGTAAGGTTATATATGGTTTCTATTAGACAATATAGAACTTGCGTCTTAAATAACAGATCAAAATGTATCATATACCACTTGGATATGATTTTCAAGGAATTGTATGATATCTGAACTATGATATTTGTATTTGAAAATGCATGCTTCTGTTGATAGTGGTATATCTATATAGAACACTATATAATTATAGTGGTATATTTATGTAAATACAACTGATTGGAGAATGTTGGTGAACGTCAGTAAGACTTGTTTTTTATATCATCAAAGTTTCTGATTATTTGTCTCTGTCTAAGTTTATTTACTTACAATGGCAAACATAGTTTTGCATATAAGTTCTGTACCTTTTTCAATATATTAACCTTGCCGTTTTTAAGTCGAAGCTTCCTTGCTGATTATTTAAAGATTGATTTCAATTCAAGACTTTGAAATATTTTGAAACACATGTCCGGTATATTACGTTGTGTACATTCACTATTTTGTCCCTGATAATGCTCTATTTCTAAGACACATTTCTATAACGTTTACTTGTATTAAGAACCAAAAATCAATTGGATAAAATTCAATTCTCTTTTTATGGTTTTAAATAAAAGTTGCTGTAACAGTGAGGAAAAATGTGATATTTTGTCCGATAAAATGAAGGATCACAGTAAGTGTTTTTTTTTTAAAAAAAAATGAATATTTTACTTTACATTATCTTTTAACACTGGTTTGGTTTCCTTCAGAACCACAGGATACCTCAATATTGACTCATTTCTTATACATGTCAGAACTTTTTTCTATTGATCTAAATATATTATATTTGAGGTTTGATTGTAAAGTTAATTTGCCTTCAATGGACAAAATGACATTCCATTCCTGAAGGCTATATAATAGCTTCCTTCGAAACATTTTTCCTAATATTATTTCACAAAACATTTTAAGTGCCTTCCGATGTTTTGTGCCTCTAACATAACTTGGATTGTATGTTAAAGGCGAGCGTAAATTGTTGCCCTATATTCAGATCAAATAGTTCACGATAGGCCAATATATACATGCAATAATATTCAATTTCGTAATGTTTCTTTTCTTAAGATTGTAGATCGAGAACAAGACAATTATTAGTATGAAACTTGCTCCTTAAAATGTCACTGATTGGTAATGGAATAGAATTGAAATGTATAAACAACCATTTAGTGTCGATTTTAGTAGCAGTCTGAAGTCATTGTGCAAAATACATCTATATCATGGTCACATCTCTTTTTATGATCCTGAAGCCTTTTCAAGGAAACGGACGGTCGATTTATCTAAACGAATGATTTCGTTGAACATAAAGCTATATCTTGTAAATATTTCATAATTTTTTCAACATGATCTTATGATCTCATGGAATAATATCAAAATTTGTATCACATAGAATGCCAGCAATGGCGTCATTTGCCATAGAAACAATGGCTTCAAAATGCAATTAAAACTAAAGAAGACTATTGTTTATACTCATCATTATGCTGTGTCATCATTACGTCAACATAAAACATTATTTAAATTACAAATGCATTTAAGGATTGTGTTTTGGAAATCCTGCGTACTTGTGTGTTTAATATACGGTTTATTGTGTTAATAAAACCATAAGAAAGCTTCAACTAATTACAAAAGTATTAAATATTGCCAAAATAACTTGAACTCCCTTTTTAAATGCTGAACAAATTGAAATATTCATCTTTATCAGAAAT